ACTTGGCTGGTTCCCGGGTTCGCGCCCAGGTGTTGCTGGACGAACCGACAGGGTGGAGCGGCGAGGGCACAAGCCCGTGCGGAACTGCGACGGTCACACTTAATACAACAGTATCTCTCACTTCACAGTTTGATAGGGTATTTCTCAGTGTACCTTGTAATCATCTCTGTTCTCTGCATCTCTCCCAGCATTCTTCTATCACACTGTGCTTTTTGCCAGTCTCTCCCACGTGGTATGTTCTGCAGACATGGAAGCCGAAGGACACTGAGTGTTGCGTTTGTTCTAAAAATTTGTATTTGTGTCCCGTTAGGTGGCTCTGGAGGTGATGATGGAGCTGTGTGCTGAGATGGGTGTGGAGCAGCTTTCTGAGATGAAGGAATTCGCCATCTACGCCAACAGCAACAAGGGTAAGATTCACAGTAGACCATTGGATGGGCACATGCTAACCTATCCCATTTTAAAAGCATAAAATGAGAATGTCTTGGGCAGAGCTGAAACAATCAGCGATTCAGAATAATTCACTAGATGTCTGAGAAATCAAATACCTTCAAAACAAGAAAAGTTGGCAAAAGTTGTAGATGGAGCCACCTAAAAAAATGCTTGAAGCCACCTGAAAATATAAAAGAAGAATAAAGAAAAAGAGGCTGAAATGCTGTTACATGTGGCTTGTGCCAATGTTCCCTTAACAAAATCAGTTATAAAACGTAATAATTTGGTGAGAAATTCATACAGCAGATGAACTGCGGAGGGGTTACTTCCCCAGAATTGCTAATTTGAAAAAAAAATCCATGAACTGAATCAAAATGTCTGACCATGTATGTGTCATTAACGATGAGTCATGAGATGTGAATGAGCTGTGTTTTACACACTTTGTAATATCTTAAGAACATTTGAAAGGTTTTTAATTTTACTGGATTTGTCTCCGACGATGGCAGTTACATAATCAAGGAGTACAATGACATTCTTCAGGGGTTATTACAAAACTCAGTTTGACTTGTAAAGCCCGCATAGTAACTCTTTGCAGTGACATGGCAACTAATTACACAAAAGCAGATACGCTGAACACAACTGTCAAAAAACATTTCAAACATAGCTGTTCTTGAAGATGTAGGACTGAAAGGCAGGTCGGATATTCAAGTTGTGTAAAACAGAGAGCCTAAAGATTTATACTAAATATTGATGGGGCCAACCCAGTATTTTGAGTATTTCCCCTTTCACTACATTTCTCTATTTTATGAAGCCATTTGGAAGCCACCCAAAGGCCCTGGAGAGAAGAAGACATTTTCTTCCAGAGTTGGAAGACTCTCTTTTCCTACTCGTCACAATGACCACTGCTTTGCACTCTAAGAATCGAAGTAACTAGGTTATCACCATAAGCATGGACATACTGACTAACCTCTTCAACTTCAACCTCAACTTCATTTCTGCTTGTCTGTTGTTCTCCTTCTCTCCAGGGAAGGTGATGCGGCCCATCCGCCCCGACGAGTACCTGCTTGACTTCCTGCTGGACGATGGCTCCATCACTCTGTGGTTCCACAGGGTCATCTGGAGAGAGCCCCTGCACTTTGACAATGAGTTTTATGTGGATATCCACTATAGACAGGTACCTTATTGCGGCCCAGAGGTTACATGCAGTGCTTTTAGAGTTCTTTCGTTTTCTGTGTATGTCCAAACTGGCATTTTTTCTTTCAAGATCCAATGGGTACAAATTCAAAATTAAATAATACCAGCATTTCACTTTCAATGTGTTTTTATTTCCTATGCTATTTTACTGGTGGCACAGTGGTGCAGGGGTTAGAATCGTTGCCTCACAGCACCTGGGCCCTGGGTTCAATTCCAGGGGTGCTGTCTGCATGGGGTTTATATGTTCTTGCTTTGTTCTCGTGGGTTTTCGTAGGTTTCCGGTTTCCTCCCACTGTCCAAAGACATACTGGAAGGTTAATGGGCTTCTGGGAAATTGGCCCTGGTGTGAGTCTGGTGTAATGTGCCTTGCACCAGTTTCTTTCTGGGATAAGCTCCAGATCTCCTGTGACCCTCAGCTTGTTGAAGCGGTTAGAAAATGTATGGATGCATGTTATTTTAGGTCCCAGGCTGCATTTCTGAAATACAAACACATTTCTGAAATGTCAGTTTTGACCTGCCATGTCACTGAATGCGGAGCCTATGATTTTACACTTACTGACGATGAAGGCTTGTGACATTAGGCGTGCCCCTGAGATCTCTGAGCTCAGCTGCTTGACGGTGGCTCTCAGGATAAACACATGTGGATCTCATAGTGAAAGGAAGCTAATGGGCAGTGTGCTGATTCTCTCTCCTCTCCCCTCTCAGGTCCTCAGTGATTACCTAGAAGGCAAGCTCCTGCTCCCCAGTCATAAATCCTCGCCTGACCACCAGGTGGTGGCACTGGCAGCCCTGCAGCATTGTGCCAATGGGATGGGTGCAGAGCCTTCACAGTAAGTGTCCACACCAGCATGAAGAGACTGCTGTTCCTGTTGCCAGTGCCTAAACCTGCATCTGTTGGTGCCAGCAAATGCTAATTGGGAGTTGCATAACATCTGGTTGTAACATTGATTCCTTATAAAGCACTGGGCATGTTTTTATTTTCTGATCTCCAGTATCAAATACTGACTTTATTTTCTGGTATCTAAACAAGAGCTGGCTGATCTCCAGCTTTTATTAGTGTGAGGACAGTGGATTTGTGAAGCACATGCTGAATGTGAATTATCTTGAATTTCTCTATATCAGTTTTAGTCAGTTTTGAAAGAGTCTTCAGCTCCAACATTGTTTTGTCATGGAATGAAAACTAAAATGTGAAAGAAATTGTGCTTGGATCAAATGTTCTTATTTTGTTTTGTCAAGATTGCCATCATGATGATGGTAAGATTTAGCAATACGAACAAAGAAAACCACAGCCATGAACAGATCTTGTGCACAGGCCTGAAGTCAGGCAGGAGATGTTTCCCCTACTGCTTATGTTCTCTTCCATTGTGTGAAACCGCCAAGCCTGAGACACAAGAAAGCAGCTTCCAGGTCCACAAACTTGTTCCCCAAATTGCTGCACAATGCAGAGAACATAGATTTGTAATGTGTTTGTGGGCACACATCTTCACCCTGCCATTCAATGTTCAGAGCTGCTCTGTGTTCTTCTGTCTAGACATGATTTGAAGGGGTACCTGCCTGTGGGGTTCAGTGTGAACACCCAACAGCTTCACTCAGCTTTGCTCAGCCAGTTGGGCTCCCTGCGTACACTCAGCTCCACTGACGCCAAGATCCGCTTCCTTGGTGAGTACTGTATGTCCATACTGAAAGCATTGACTTCTGCTGTAGTCCCACTGATCAACCAATGTCAATTCCAGCTTTTGCTTATACTCTACACGTACCCTGGTGGAGTAAGGATGTGAGAGGAGAAAGAACAGCAGTGTGGCCTACCTGCAGCAGGAATGCTGTAACAGGAATTCTCTGATTTAAATAGGAATCAGAGAAAAAGACAAACATACACTCATGTTAAAAAATAGTTTCTTTATTTGCAATAGGAGGAAAATAACACAAACCAAAACCCTAAACTCCTCCTTGAGCTTCCAACTGCACATCTTCTTACAGACTCTATAAATGGCAAAGCAGCTGAGTCTCACTGAGACTACATTTTCTTTCAGAACTCTTTTCCAAAACTCAGGGTAGGGGTGTTACCCTGACCTCCTGTCCAAATTTTCCCATTGGCCTTTACCAATCAGAGTCTCCTAATAATTCCCATCTGTAAATTGGCTTCCTCACTCTGTTCTCCTTCTCACTGATAGCTGGTGTGTGGTGAGTGTACTGGTGCACTATGGCTGCACCATCCAGCTGGGGCTGCACATTGGTGGTGTTGGAGGGGAGTCCCCGCTGTAGAAGGACTTGAAGACAGTGGTTAACTGATGCTCCCTATCTAACTTGACTGAGCTTGAGAAAATTTGCAAGGACGAATGGGCAAAAGTCCCCAAATCCACATGTGTAAAAATGATACAGACATCCCCAAGAAGTCTCAAGGCTACAATTGTTGCAGAAGGTGCTTCTACGGAGTAGTGACTCAGGAGAATGAATACTTCAGTTAACAAGTTACTTCCGTTATTTTTCATTTTTCATTTATTTTCTACAATAAAAAATCTTTTTTCACTTTTAAGTTGTTGTGTATGAGTTCTTTCTGCTCTTTCACTAATTTCAAGTCTTATTTAAGAAAGTGAAACAGGATTAATATGGATCTTACGGATCTGAGGAAACACCCTTCTGGTGTTCTGGGTTATGATCTTTTTAAGAGCAAAAAGCATAACCTTGAAGGATGTTTCTTATAAGAGGTACTTGACCTGTGGTGTGAGTTCTCTGTTTCATTTCCCTGACCTCATGCTCATTTTCTCCGTCACAGAGTCCGTCAGGTCCCTGCCTCTCTTCGGCTCCAACATCTTCCTGGCGAGCAAAGTCAGTCACCGCCACTGTCCCTCACCCTGCATTGTGGCTGTCAACCAGGAGGGCATTCTTCTCGCTGACCCCAACTCCCAGGTACCAGCAGAAAGAACCATCTCTCTCACACTACCGATGACAGAAGTGCTGCCCCACTCGTGTATCAGTCTCGCATGCTGACCTCGCACTCACTCAGGCCCTGCCTGTAACACTCACACACTGACCTCAGCCCTTGATCCAAATTGTTATTTGTTAAAAATGTAGCTCAGTCCTGATTTACATGATCTTCTCGACTGGGATTGAAAAGCCTTCATGACTCAATCCCTGCAGGAGACGCTACTGGTGATCCCCCTGCCTGAGGTACAGTCACTAAGGTCCCTGCGCCCTAGGAGAGATGAAAAGCTGCCAGGGGTTGAGATCAACTATGGACTCAGAGCACCCAAAAAGATGACATGCCACCTCAAAGAGGTAAAGAAGTCAGATGGTCGAAGATCAATAATGATAAATAAATAATAATTTACTTGTGTAAATTCTAAGAGGATTTGTCAATATACTGTAGGTCTCACTTTTATTTTCATTTTGTTACAACATAAGAAAGGTTACAAACAAGAAAAGGATTTTTTTTAAACACGCATAAGAATTTGAAATTGTTTAAGAAATTAGGGAGAACCAATGATTCACAAAATCCTGGTTATGATATGGAAAATATCTGACAGCCCTAAAGGCACTGAATGTCTTGCCTTAACCCAGCTGAGATACTGTAAATAGACTGTTCCAAGTTGTGATGTTGTGCATGATCAAATCACACTAAATTAATTATAATGTTGTTTTGAGTAGCTAGATAGATGGGCTATGGTGTGCTTGACCATTCTATAAATATAAATGTATGCTGAAACAATAAAAGATGCGCACACCTTCAGGACATATGGAAAACTGTCTTGCTGAGATTTTGGAACCACCACAAAGTCATTGTGACTATTTTGAAATCATCTGAAATTCACAGCAGACAACGAATAGTCATCCTGTTTTTATACATATTTCACCAAACAAGGGTCTGGAACCTTATAATCACAAACTGCTTTGACCCTTTAGCAGCAGTTTTGGTTGTGCTTGGATAAAAACACCTCTGTCCGAAGACTCTGGTGAAGATTCCTTAAAGAATCAAATACTAACAGCTATATCTGAATAGAAAATAAGAATGACTGTTTAATGCTGTGATTTATGAAGGGTTGGTTACCCATTAGTAATTGAATTCATTTTTCAAATTAAAAGTAGTTTAAAAACTTTTTAAATTCATCTTACTTTTACCTAAACCTAACTTTTTAAGTTTTAAAATTACTATTCTGTAGCATACATTATGGTCCAAATTAAGATATTTGCTAACAGTAGATATTCAACATAAAAACACATTACAGTTTATGTAGCTTGCACATAACCCAGCCAGGCTGATTCTGAGCCGTGCTTCAGAAGCACCTGAGTGTTATTTGTGCATTGTGGCGACTGCAATGAAAGCGGCAGTGAATGGAGTGCCAGTCTAACCAGTGATTTGTGCTTGTGCTGTGTCATGTGCTCAGGCCAAGGAGCTGTGCCACGTCATCGCCGTCATCATGGAGGAGCTGGTGTGCCACCCCAGCGGCAGCTCCACCGCCGGCACGGCTTCTGGCTCCCCCAGCTTGGCAGACACCCACCGTGAGCCCGTGCCTTCTGTAGCCTCCCGCCAGCCCCCATCGCGAATCCCCAGCCCACCCCACAGTCTGCCTGACACCCGGGAAGCTGCCATGTACTCAATGTATTGAATGTCAGGCCCTGACACTGCACTCAGGCTTCAGTTCTGTTCCACACAGCCCACTATGCAGTATGTTAATACAGAGTACGGCAACGGTTCCCCACCCTGGACATGAGGGACCTCTGTCTCTTCTGGTTTTTCTCCAGCCCAGATCTTAATTAAAGGCTAATTGATTTCAGCTTTTTGTTTCATGCAACAACATTGTTAAATTTGCTTTTAACTCTTAATTGGGTTTTGGAATGGTATTAACTCTGAACCAATTCCTGAGTTTGGGGACTCCCTTTATTCAGCTGTGTTGAAATGTAATCGATTCCTCTCCAGAAGGAAAACAACAGCATATTGTGAGACTTTTTGATAATTTGTCAACCCCGCTTGTATCTTTTCATCACAAATTGAGAGCCTTAAACTGCTGTGTGCTGAAGGTGTTGGAAACAGTACTCTTGATACAGAATGTTCTCGAAAGTCAGGACTGAATGCAGAAACATTTTAACCAAACTTGTGTAACAAGCAAATTGATTAAATCTTCAGTTAGCCTCCAGGATTTAAAGCTCAGCTTCACCAAAAACCAGCAGAGACACTGACTGTCCAGTAGCACTGTCGTTCTGTATACCCTTTCCCTCTTTAGTGCAGTAAGTGTTACAAATTAAAAATGTTAAATCTGTACTGGCTGTAGCCCCATTGGACATATGTGCTGCTCTGCTCAAAGTGTATAAGAATCATGAACACTTTATATATAATTGTGTTGGCACCATAACAGCACAGACACTTCATTGGTGGAAAGGATTTACTCTTGGAGAAATAGAAAACCAGAGACAAAATACCATTTTTAGTACCATGAGTCCATCCTGGGAGGAGATTGACCTGCTGCTCAGGTGTATTGCCCACAAACCATGTGAACGATGCTCAACCCCCCCAGTGCCTTAACAGACCATGGGTAGACCCACACTTTGACCTTTGATAAGGTCTGTAGTATGCTCACCCCCACACCCACCTGAGGAGAAAATCCATGCTAATTACCTCCCAGAAGTGTATTTGTGCAGTTAAAGTGGCATAGGCAAATCTCACCTTGTCCTAATGAAGATCTACATAAAATGCCCCTCCTGTTCTAAAGGGCTTAGCAGGTTTGTTAGCAGGGTGCCCTAGATGATGATGATGATGCTGTCAACTATTTCTATTGAGAAATGGGATCAATGTCATTCAAGCCCAAGAACCTGATCTGTGAGAGAACTATCCCTGAATTGAAGTGATTTATACAGGTCTCTCTGGGAAAAAGGGGGTGTTTGGACATTTTTCCCTGCAAGGGTCTTCCTTCTAGACAGCTGACTGATGTTGACTTCTATCCTCCTTTTCACTCAAAAAGCACCTGTAAGCATAAAAATATATTTTTATTCTAATTTCTAGGGCTGTTTAAACACTGATATTTGTGATAAAGAATAACATGCCACTTGATTCTGTCTTAATGTCTAGTGTGCAAACTTATATTTATCCTATTTTCATATTATATTTAAATTAATAAAGATGAATATGATACCTTGTGGCTTTCTTTTTGTTAATTATGTATGATAAACACTCTTTAAACATGCTGTGAGATCTTATTAAATATTATTGTGCTCAAAGTGTAGCAAATCATGCATACCTTCATCCATTTTCTGATCAATTTATCCAATACAGAGTCTTGGGGGAGCTGGAGTCTGTGCCTGCAAACAAGGCATGGATGGGATGCCAGTCCCCTTATCTGTCTAAAGGAATTCCAGTAAAACAGCAATAAAGGACAAGTTTTACATTTACCTCTCCCTGAAGCACAAAAATTGAAACAAAATGTATAGGCTCCTTTCTCTAAAGATTTCCCTTGAACAAATACTGTTTCTAATTATACTCTTGTCAAGATTTATTAAGCAAACAGGCAATGTGCATTCTTCCCTGCATAATGGGAACAATGAGATTTAAACTTTAATCTATCATGAAGGAAGTTATAATGTAATCTCCATGTTCCGGTGTTCCAGAGAGTGGTTGGTCGAAATTCAAAAATCTGCATAGCAGTAAGTATAACGGAGTTACAGGGCCACGTAGGTCGCCTTGCTCCCCAAGGTCATTGTTAAAAATAGTTCATTTGCAGGAAATACAGTATCCAGCAGTGCAGCTTTCCATTGTGACTGAGTGAATAGTTAGAAGTTGACAGGGAGGGAAAAGAGCATTTTGGATTGTGAATTCCCTGACAAAAGACAAATTGCCATGATATTTAATACAGAAAATGTGTTCACTTTATTTTTTCTACTTAACGTAAACATCAAGTTAAACATCATACTTAAACATTTTTGGTTTAGGGCAAAAAAGTCTTCGAAACAATTTTAAAAAATATTTTCGTCCCATTGACTGTGCAGGTATGTCTTGCTTAAGGGGTAGAGTAAGAGCAGTCCCACATCAACAATATACCCCTCCTTCTCAATGTCTTTGTCTACAATTACAGTATTATTAAGTACACTCGCTGTGCACGAACTCGGACTGTCGACACTCGCCTCTCTGGTAGGTAGCGGAAGTAAAACCGATGCAGCCTCCACTGTGACCAATCATGCCTGAGATTACTGACCCATCAGCCAATCAGATGCTCAAGATGAATCCATCTGCCTTTGCGTTTCCTCATTCCCTGACATTTGCCAGTTTCCAATATGGTAGTCGCCGGAGTGTACCGAGTGGTCTTTAAAGGAATGTATTAGTCCTGAGAGCTATAAATGTCAAATAGACGTCAACGTGCATGCTGGGTAAGTAGCAGCAAAAGACTGTAAATGCACAGCATTCGTCAAAGGGCAGACTGATTCCTAAAGTGTAATTTGTGGCTCAGTATATTTTGTTCTGAGGTCTATTAGGTTCACCTGTCCAATGCCTCACAGCTGGGTTTATTTTTTTCAGTTAATATCATCTGGGCACAGACGTTGGTATCGCTTGTGCATAGGTGTTGTTAATTAATAGGAAACAGATTTTTACAATAGCAGTAAAATAAATTGGTTTGGGCTGACTAGGCATATACATATATATAGGCATATATAAAAGCAGAACTTTGCAATCCCTCCGGTTACTATGCTGTAAATATCGCGGCTGTCTACAGCTGTGCCACAGTATTGCAGCTCAGAATACGAATACTCTCCTCGGATACAGTTACCCCGTGTACACACAAAATAACATGTTTACATCTTAGCTGCTGCTTGTTTTTCTGGGACTTCTCACATTAAGTCGCCGTGAAAGCGATCCCTCGGGGCACTGCCTGTTACTAGTGAAGCATACAGCATTGCTTTGTGTTTATTATGGATATCTCCTACCATAGCTGTCTGTGGTTGAGGTCGTATATACAGTAGTTTCTCGTATTTTGTGTTGTGGATATGTCATTTACCTGCTCTCTGACCGCTGGGATGTGGTAGCCTACACCAGCGGTGTTTATGTTACGATGAGTAGGACAACAGGCGTGGCTGCAGAGAGTCGTCGTCTTCTGTCCATTGTACAAGTTTATCCAGTGCCGGAGAGCCAGAGTCTTTGAAGTTCCAGCTCAGCTACCTTAGCTTAACTACCTATACAGATGTTGTCATGTGTTATATGGACCAATGTAACATCTTCAGGTCCTGACGGGTATAAGAAAAAGAAAAGCTAGGCATCCCGGCTCTCCAGGAGCAGGACTGGACATTTTGCTGTTTTTCTTAGCTATTAGCACAGTGATGCAGAACATACGAAATGAAAAGAAAACTCATTTATACCCCTCACCTTTCTTTTAACGTTTTCTAAATAGAATATATGGGTCGTTAGGGAAAGGCATTTTTCTTCGTCGTTCAGCCGGGAAACGCGGCTCGTAGGTGCTCGCTTGCACCGTTGATTGCAACTCGACACATTTGTGCTTTCCCTGTTTTGCGCCGGTGTTACTATTGAAAATCAGTATCCCCCTTCAAAATGCGCATGTTCCGAGGTACAGAGCTGGTTACGACGTCGGACGTCTGGTTCACGACAGACGAACGTTTAAGCATCTCAATAGCTACCATGTTATAGCAACATACGAGACATTAATTTGTTTTAATGAAATGTGTGTGGAGGAAAGGTTTTCTTATAAACATGCACTAACTTTAACCCACTGAACGTGTCAGCTGATGTCCCGTTTCTAGAAATAAAAAAATACATATTCTGATTTCATCGCATTTCATACAATGAAAAAAGAAATTGTAGGCTAAGTCGCTAGGCTTTTCTGCTGTTAAACGTGAATGAACAATCAGAGATGAGTAGTTTTCCCTGATTTATGAGGTTTACTGTACTTTGCCATACAACGTAGGATTTAGGGATAACTCATCTCGTTACATTTTCCCTGAAAATAAATGAGCAGTTAATATGAAGTGCGAACCACTGTGGCAGCAAGCGTGACTTCCCTGAAAGCTGAGCTGTAATTTCGCTTCAGCTGGAACGGTTGACCGCTCGCTCCCACGCAATAGGATTTTAATGTTTTGGTGCATCGCAGGCTTACACATCTCATGAACGAGAATAATGAACATTGAATCGAAATGGTTGCACTCAAGTGCCAGAAGTTGCACCCAAAATACTAATTCTAAAAAAAAATGATGGAGCTAGCCAGTGTTCATCACTGCTACAGTGCTATAATGGGCTGAATTCCAGACCGTTTTCTCCCATAGACCAAAAAAAACATACTGGTACTTGGGTTAATTGGCCTAGGTGTGAGTATGTGCATATCTGCCCTATGATGGACTGGCCAGGGTGTGCCCCGTCTTAGTCCTGTTGCTGGCTCGGATAGGCTCCAGCTCTCCCGCGACGGTGAATTAGAAGAAGTGGTTAGAAAATAGCTGCAGGATGGATTTCCCATACGAAAATACTTCCTTTTTCAATGAAAAAAAAAATTGCATTGATTTACAAAGTTCTGGGAGTGTGTTACATGGAAAGATGGGGGCATGACGATCTCTGGCTCGGTGACCTTCGCTGCGGGGGCAGGCTCCACTCGTGTTGGCCTTTACCGAATGCCTCCGGTAGCAGCTCAGCAGATAGAGCTGACCTGAGCCTCCTGGTTTCCCCTACCGTGTGCTTTCAGAGGTCTGAGTCAACCCTGACATGAAGACAGCCGCCCTGGTGTCCCGGCGCTGCGCGTAGCGACTCGGCGTGGTGGTCTCCGCGGGGCAAGGACAGCCGCACTCCGTCCTGGCTCACGGACTCCGGCGCCTGCTGTCGGAGAGCCCCTGCCTGCCGGGATCGGAGCCTGGAGGAGATCGGAGCACATCGGAGACCGGAACGCAGCGGGCGGCAGAGCATGCTGACGTCACACTGCCGCCATGGAACTGGATAAGAGACAGGTGAGGCCATGCAGGAGGAACATATCACTGTTTTGGAGAATTTGTCTCTGCAACTCAAGTTACTTTTTCAATCTTTTGCTTCAACTCTTTCCCAGTTAACATTTTGTTTTGCTTAGGTTGGGATGTTGTTTTATAATTCGTGCTGACAATTCAAAGACTTGAGTGCAGTGAACTGAGCGACTTCCTGTACATTTTCAGACATGCATGCAGTCTTTGTATACTCCTCATAGTTCCTGTAGAAGTTTCGGTTGTAGTTTGAAGATGGTGATGGTTTGCCCTGTAAACAGAAATGACAAGATCAGTTCTTGGATGCCAATATATATTGATGTTGCTGTGAAGACTGATTTACTTGCTAAGTGAGTTGACCATCATCATCTTTTTCTGTGTTCAACTTCTTAGAAGAATCTCCTGTACTATTGCAGCATTCTCATTCATAGAGCCTTGTTTGAAATTGGATAGTCATCAATGACATCATGCAGTTGCGTTGGCCATTGCAACTATGCTTACCAATGGATAAACATGTTTGTGTTTTCCTTAAGTGGCTGCTCCTGACTGCCTAATGTGTATAAATAAATGGCATAAGCTGTATTCAGGAGCATACTATAGAGAAAGGTATTTCTCCATATGAAGTGTGTTTTATTATATTGACTTGGAACATATTGTGCAAAATACTATTTGACAAGGTTAGATAATCAGTTTGCCTTCTACATCATTTTTGTTATGTGGGGCACTCAACGCCATCAGTGGCTGCCGAACTGGTGTCATACTGTAAATACTTAAGTCAAATTAAATCAGTAATTGATTGAATTAAGTTGGACACAATTAAATTCTTAAGACTTAATGGCTCTAAGATAGGGTGGTCAATAGGTTAATTAGTAGGTTAACGTGCCTCCGACTACTTAATATTGTCTTGGAAAGACTGATTTTTGAAGTTTTTCAGAATTGAGTGTTTTATATATTATTCAGTTTCTTCAGTGATTCTTTTCAAATGCATGCGCATGAGGTTTGGAGTGATCTTGAAACCTGCTATTTGAATTAATGCCTGCTTGTTATTTTGCCTGCTGACTCACCTGCTAGCATTGCTTGTTTAAACTCAAAAAGTTTTGAAAAGCCAAAAGAAGTAAAATAAGTGAGTTAAATTTTGATTGTTGCTCAGAAATAAGTATGTTCAACTATTCTGCTGGGTGTTAGCCCCTTGTGCAACATTGAAGTCCTTCCCTGTGTGCTCCTTTGCCATGTAGCCCAGCAAAATGTGTTGTTAAAGTAGGTGTCTCGGGTACCTGGAAGACAATATTTAGAGCATTAGACCTATGGAAAAGGAGTAACCTTTTTGAACAGGATCAATAGTTAACCTTTTAACTCGGTTCTTAACCATCTGACAGTTTAATAAGACTCCGGAAACCTCCTGTATTGTGGAGTTGATAAGCTCACTAGATAAGGGACTACCCTACCATGCTTGGCGTGATAAACATTAAAAATCTTAACATATACACAGATTCAGAAAGCACATGCCAGGTGCTAAACTTTGTACATTTAAACTTTTTTGAAGCGCTGGCTATTGAGGTTCAAGATGTGCTAAATTCACTTACTGCTTTAAAAGGCAGGTGGTCTTTGGTTTTTCTGCTGAGGAAATGCCACTACTGGAATAAGTAGCAACACAAGAGGTTCCTTGAGCTTGCTGCTCATCTGCTGAAAGTGTCTCGAAGCTGCTGACAGCTGTGAGGCGACAGTTTGAGGCTTCCCGCCCAGTGTGAGAGTGGGACTGCTGTCCTTGTGGGATAGACATGCCAAGATGGTTGAAATGATCAGGCTCTCAGATCTGTGTGGAGATGAAGTAGAACAGAAGTTCACATTAGGTCATCAAAGCATTTACCACAGTTCCAGAGGTCAGTTTTTTTTTGTTCCTGTCTTAAAAGCAATATATTTTATTGTGAAATGTTTTTTAAGTCCTTTCAACCTGAAAAGAGTGTAGGCCTGTTTCAGAACTACACTTTTTTGTTGATTCCTTTCAATTGAAACATCCCATTGTGCCCTTTGATTGCCCATTTTGTGTGCCAGATTGCCTATTATTGAGGTAATTATTTTAAGACTGCTCTATGGCTTATTTAACTCATTTTATGTAAACTAAGGAGAAGTGATTTAAGACTCCGGAAGACTGTTTTCTCTATAGACAGGGATGTCTGCAACTTGAACTCAGCCGTGTCGTATCGATCGGTTGCTTACCCGCAGCTCAGTGAGCACGATCGGCTGAATGGGGTCCTCTTTCTTATGTTCCTGTACTTTTTTGTCTTCTTACAAAAGTGCTTCAGAGTGCACTGAATGTAACTGATTCATGGTAACCTCAGAAAAGAAAACGGTTTGAGTGGCACACAAGCATCCTGGCCTGTCGCTTACACTAGGATTGCAGCACTTTATAACTACGGCCGACAGTGACCTTGCATTATTCAGCATATATAATATCTTAGCAATGAGCCTTAGCAGAAAGTGAGGGGAAGCAGTATATGTGCTGTTATTTCCATCCATTTCTTAAACTTGATTTTTTTTTTTCTGGTTTTCTCAGCAAGGTAGTGGGGATAGGAAGTAACAAAGTGTTTCCGGTTTCTTCCAACTGGCCATCCATGGGTCCTGACCTTAACTTTTTAAATTAATTTTGCAGTGATACAGACAAAGAGCGAAGCATTTTTCATTTGCTTGGCACCTCTGTTCACATTCCTCATTGGGTGCTGCGATTTTTTTCCCCCAAGTATTTGCAGGACATTTGGGAACAACTTTCAAGAAGTTTTCACATGGGAGGAAATAACTGTCATGTCCCTGGATACATATCAGCCCTGTTCCAAACAGTTGTCAAAACATATAAAATGTCTGTCCTGGGCTGTGTTTACAAAGCAGAGCAGTACTTTTTTCACAGATGTCTGGAAGTGCTCTGTCCTCAGAAATTTGGGAAGATCCAACATCAACTTGTAGCACTGTAGCAGAGCCCCCTGATTCCCCATCATACAGTATGTCTGACCAGCAACTTCAGCCTAGAACAACACAGCTCTTAGTCTGTGTTATTTTCATAAAGGAACACAGCTTGACTAAAGCACTGAACCTTTGACACAAAATCCAAGAACTGTTTGTTCTGTTTGTTCAATCTTCTTTTCTTCATGCACCTGAAACAGAAAAAACAGAAACAAGAAAAAAATCCAGAAGTCCCACCCTCATGGTTTTTCCTGTCAACCTTTTCAGAAATGTTTTCTGTCTTTCTTGGCCTAAGGATAAAACCTAAGGGTGGTCATGTTTATCCTCAGAAAGAAAACTATGTAAATGTGTACAAAGTCATCTAATCCAAGTGATTTCTCATCCTGCATTTGTTGAAATGACTTCTTTAGAGCTGATTAGATGTTTTAGTCCACACAGTCTGTTGCATACTTTGCAAGTCAGCAAAATGATGTAAGTGAAGTGCTGGAATAGACCAAAGCTCCTGCCTCTGTTCCACTGCTTTTGAACTGTGGGTGAAGTGCACCTAAATCTGAGTGCCTCCCTTTATAACTGTCGACTGAAGTCACACCCACCCAGAGCTGTCTGGCCCCATTTCTGCACCTGCTGAAGTGTAAAGGAGCTGCAGTGGAAATATTTTCAATGTACACCTTGTATAGACTAGGCAGCTCAGCTGTAGCCAGAAAACAGCCGTGAAAATGGATCATTAGTGTCTGAAACCTGCAGGCAGGCACCCACGCTGGGTGGCCTTCCTTTTCTCCTCACCCGACTGCCCTTCTTCTCTGGAAGTCGAAGTGCTGCGCTGGCTAGAATTGATTAATGGCTGGCTGCGCTGGGCAGCTAGCCCTGGGAAGCAGTTGCCTCCCCTTTTCTCCTCTCCTATCCTCTTGTCTCGATGCAAACAGCACATGTCTGGAGGCAGGGGAAGGGCTAATCAGGATCCAGGACTGCTCTCATTGTGCAGCAGCGTCAACGGGACTCTAGAGCTGACCATCGGATCTTCCCTGAGTCAGCTCATTGGACGAATTGTTCTGTGGGACCTGGGAGCCAGACACCGTTGACTGCAGATACCCGTCCCACCCCTCTCACGCACGCAGCTCCTGAGCTCAGCTGATGTGCGCTTCTTTGCTCCTCGTGCTCGTAGCTGGCGCTCCAAATTTGAGAGCAGCAGAACGGGGAGTGGAATCTGGCGCTGCAGGGGGAGGTGGTGTGGGGGACCAGCATCCAAGTTCTGACGGAGGCTGAGTGGCAGACGCTGAGATGCTTTGAGCGAGCAGGTTCACCCCGTCAGCCTGAACAACGGCGCTAGAGAAAGCGATTGCAGAAATGATCTTCAAAAAGACAAAAGCCTGGCAAGGGCTCTGGAAAAAGGATGTAAGTGGTGTTTTATTCAGTTCTTGGCCGGGGTTAGAGCAGCAGCATACCTTCTTTTATATCTGGGAGAGGGCATGGGGGGCTGTCTTTTGAGGCTTCTCATGGAGCAGGTAGGCTTGCACTTAGCATCCACCGTGCTTGCAGGTGAACACCTTTGTACCAGTTTGCATTTGCATTTATTCTGCATTGGGAAGCCTCACGCTCGCGTGTTAGCTGGAGAGGTTCACAGAGCCAAGCTCCCCGGTGGGAGAGGGCTATTTTTAGCCACTGCTGTTAGCGCGTGGCGCAGCGCAGTGCTGTAACTAGACTCAGGATTGCAGTCTCTGAGACAGAACGGGAGCACAGCTTGCGAGGAGGGAATCTGGCTCCCAGTGAACATCTGCGCTTATTACTTCACCTGTGAATGGGACCCTGTCTGCGGAGGGTCCTGTTTACCCCAAAGCCATTGCCAATGTACCCTCTCCGGGCAAGGCCAGCGCAAGTAAATCTTTCAAACCAGCTTTTCATTGCCAATCCCTTGCTAGACAACCATCATTATGCAGAGGAGTTAGTGAGAAATCGTCTCTTAAAAACAGCCACAACAAAAATGCTTCTTTTAACCCTCCACCATTTAAGATTCCTTTCATGTTTTTGACAGTTTGGATTTTTTTTCCTCTGATGTTTGTTTTGGTCTTTCAGGTTAAAAAGCCCTCCTCTAGTAGAGTCTCCCTTGTGGTGTATGGGGCAGGGATTGGTAAATTAGTAAATTATTTGTAAGTAAAGGGATTATTAAGTAAAACACATTTCCTGGGTGTCATGGTTTCAGTGCAGACACTACTGTTGCAACCTGAAGCAAGGTACTTTGTCCTGACTGCTTTATGTGAACCTGGCCCAACCTGGAGTGGATTAGCATGGCATCTGGAGGGACTCTGGTGCTCTCAGGTCCCTTAGCACTGCAGAAACTGGGATAAGAACAAAGAAAAGCTATTGATGAGAATGGGACATCGGTGCTTGACATTTTTCCCGTATGCTAAGTGATTGTATCACAGCATCAAGCTTTTACTTGAATGTTCCCACTGTCTGTGACTCCACAAAGCATCTTGATCATTTATTCTGTGCTTTCATACAGTAGCTGTGTAAAAAGATGGTTTTGGTGCCAAAATATTGTAACATGTTTCCAGTTATGTCCCTGTTCTGCTTGCCAAACTTAACTGAAACTGAAGGTATTAAATGCCTTGAGCCTGTCTTCATAACTCATCCCGTGAAGTGAGTCTTGTTCCTCTTCTCTGCCCTTTCCCCAATACTTGTATGAATTCCAGATCTATGTGCCACTGGAAAATGAGTAGGACTTTATTCTTTTTTTCTGGCGTATGCAAAGTTTACATACATCGACACCATCAAAGGCCTGCTGTATTCCAGCAGGACATGAAAGGATAAAAACCTATCTAGGCAGCAGTCATTAGTAAATCTTTAGCAACCCTAACAAGTTGTTTCAGTGCTATGCAACCATCAGAACCCAGCCTTAAACGATCTTATAAATGAATGGCAATAGCTAGTTCTAGAACCTTTAGAACAAAAATGGTAAGTTATATACTGATTGATAATGAGTAAGTTAAAGTCTTCTTTTTAAACGAAAGAATAATAACTGTAGTTTTAAGGGCTGAAGGAACAATTCTCAGTGATTCATTCATTCAGTGATTCATTCAGTGAAGATGGAGAAGTTGCAACAGTTTTAACAAATAATTTCCATGGGAGCAATATTCAAGGAGTCTGCCATTGGTTTTAGTGATCACTACAGATATCTGGTAATATCTAACTATTGAATGAAATGGTGAGCTGCACTAAAATAAAATATATGTGTAATGGTTTGGAAGAGGCTTCGCAAAACACAGTCTGTTTTGTGAGGAGTTAAACTCAAGATTGATTTTATTGGTCTGTTGACCTCTTAAGATGAAGTAGTTTAAGAGATTGTGAGCTGTGAAGGAAGGTTGATCCCAAAAAGTATTGTCCCAGTGACAGTCTGTTGCAATAGATTGTTTATGTTGCTTGAAGTCAATTAAATTAACTTATAGTTGTCGTCTAAGTTAATTATGTACAATTAAACGTTTGTCACCAAAACAAACACATAATGTACAGCATAATAGAATCCCAGCATTTGGCTGAGAGCCGCCGACAGGAGAATTTTAAAATGGATTAGCAAACGCAGTCAGACCTGATGTTGTGAAACATAATAACATACTGTATATAAGACTGAAAAGATATGTAGATAAAAAAGGGCCAGATGATCTGAAAAGCCCAGTTCAAGGACATGTAAGCCACCAACAGACAGACCACAGGTGTTATGGTCAATAATGTGTCCTTTGTCATCAGTGGGCATGTTTGCATTCTGAGTAAGGCCAAAATAATTCAGGTGCGTACAGAATTCTGATAAAGAACAGAGCTGAGCACCCACTTAAGTTCAAGTTTAAAAATCCTTGTAAAACCGAGTGCCATGAATGACAAAAGATCTGAAAATGCTTTAAAATAGATGTTGCCTTTGGTGACCTGTACAGAAGTACTCATTTATCTCAAGATAGAAATAAACTTTGGTGCTATGCACTCAGATGACTAAAGAAAAAACATTCCTGAAAACAGCTGCCCCAAAATGGTTTGCACCAAGGTTTCATCACAGGCATAGTTTAAAGGGGGTTGTTACTGTGTCATTTTTTCCAGCTGGTGCTTGGTGTGACAGGTTTAATTGTGCAAAGTGAGGTTGGGATGGAGATGTCACTGCCTCCGGATGCCCCATGCCAGGAACCCCTCAGATGGCTCTGGGAGGAGTGTCCGTGATGGTGTTATGGTGCTAAACTGGTGATGTCGTTTCCTCTTTCAGTCTTCCTTAGATCCGTACTGCCCCTCTTGGGCTACAGAAGGCCCTCTCCAGGAAGGGCAAATGATAGAAATACAGCCAGCACACACGATTGTTCTGTGGCCCTGTGGTCTGAGAGCGAGTTTCTGTTGCCTTAAGCTGTATAAGCAAATCTAGAAGGAGGAGTATTTATCTCTATCATTCGAGTTCTCCGAAGGGACTGCAGGCCCTTTCGGAGCCAGTGGCTGTGTCTGTTTCATTACTGTTACTTCTTCCATTGGAAACGCTCAGTAATCACAGTAATTACAGGGAAGAGACTTTCCCCGGGAGTCGAAAGATTTTCTGTACAATCAGTTGTAAAATTTGTGTGGCTGCCAGCATGTGTGACTTGTCGAACGGTGCTGTGCCTGAAGGAGGTTAATTGCATTTCAGCTGGAGCCTAATTGAAGAGGGCAGTTCCAGTAATCGCCTCTGATTAGCCCACAACTGACCAGCTGCCTGGAAACAGATTTGCAGGGAAAGCTGCTGATTTCATTATCTGTGCTGTCAGTTGATCTCAAACTTGTCATTTTTCAAATACATTTCTGCTGGTTGATGTGTATCCTCGTGTAGCAGCGAGTTGCTGCTCAAAGTCAAGGGGCTTTGGTGGCCACACAGGAAGACCGCACACACAACTTGTATCCCACAAGGTACTGTATGTTTCAGGCTGACTGGGCGAAGCTGCTACAACAGAGTTCGTGGGTCTTTTGGACATGGGGGGAAACAAAACAAAGAGGCTTCTCAAATGCATTTTTTTCCACCATTGCTGATCAACTGGCTCTGCAGGGACATGTATTCAACACCGGAACCAAACTTAACTTCCTTCCCCTGACACCCCACATGGTGAGGGAGGTCCATTGTGGTGGCTTCTAGTTGAAGATCTATAGTTAGGATTATAGTCTATACTATACTCTATAGTCTATTACCGTCACATCTGGCCTCACACCAAATTCAGGAATGACTTTGAAACATTTGCTGAATGCAAGAACAATGATGTTTCAGGGGTATTTTTACTGCATTAAATGGGGAAATATTCTCAGTGATCACTGAATGCTGAAGTTTTCGTTGTTTTCTAAAGAACAAGTAGAAGAGCTTTAAAAAATTTAGATTTTTACTTTAAATGGTTGAAAAACATACCTGTATTTTTTTCGCTGAAATCTGTTCCTACATTAATTAATATTTATAAGATAGCCATTTGATTTTCTGGCTTTACTTTGCAGGGGTCTCTTGACATACTGTACAGTATGAGGACAATGATTTTAGCAGAAGGAAAACAAACTGACTTGTTAAGTGCTGAGCTATGCTATATACATTAGTTAATTTTCTGTGCTTCTAAATCTTAAAAGGCAAAAAGGGCTAAATTAAAGAACAGTGCTCATATTTGGTATGGGTAGCAGCAGGAATGAGGAATTTCTGGAGTAAAAAGAATTTGAAACAGCTTGTAAGAATAAGAACCGTTGTGTCAGTGGGATCTTTGCTGCAGCCTTTCCATTTACAGTTCCCAGCACTTCCAGTGCTCAGCTCAGGATAATTCTCTGGCATGTAGGAACATTCGGAGCTGGGAAAAGCGAGCTGTGAGACAGGGAACTGGCACAGTGCCTGCTATCATGAGGAATGCAGAAATAGATCTTGGTCTTTAAGTTGCAGCCGGACTCTGCGTTTTCTTATTTATGGCTAGATTTTAATTAAAAAAGGATCAGCTGTTAGCAGGGTTTTGAAGTGCTGTGAAATGCTTGCTCCATGCTGTACGCCCTGTCAATATAAATTGCATTCTGTGCTACGCCACTCAAGTGGCTCTTGTTAATAAAGTGGATTTTCCTCTAGCAGCTCTGTGAAGCTTCCAAGCTAAATAGTGAACCAGTGATTGGTCAGAGTTATTGTGTAGAGTAGTGGTCTATAGAAAAGTGATAGCCTAGCTATATTGATAGCAATCAAGTAGTGTCCTAAACCAGTTTTCGTAGTGTTGCTGCCAGAGATAATCTACAGTACAAACTGCGGCCAAGTGTAGACATAAACTTAGAAAGTTTGTGCAAACAATTAACGGGCATTTCCGACAGATATATTTTTGAGAGAAACTTGTCAGAGCTATTTTTTCATCATCTGATTACTTTACAAAGGACAGAACAATGTTTTGCACAAGGATTCAAAAGAAATGAAATAGGGTTTTCGCAAGAGAGACTTTTGGCAGCTGCAGAAAATTCCAGGCAGGAACACTTTTACACAATAACAAATGAACAGTTTAAAGGGTCTGAGAAATGCAAAGAACATTTGGTGTGTCTTTAGTTTCCTTGGTTAACGTTTAGAAAATGATGATAAGCCCCACATAGGACATTCTTGACTGCAAGTTCAGAAGCACCTTGCACAAAAAACAGATGATGTTTATTAAAGGTTTGGGGAGGCTGACATTGCCAGACATTGTAATGATATTGTAATTGCCTTAACCTTTCAAGCTGTGTGATTCTGTAAGCTCCATCCTACGGACGTTTTTTTGTGATGCAGCAAGATAAAGACATTGGAGGTGACTTAGTGAATAGTGAAGTTTTTTCAAGGATTTCTGTTTTGAGTGAAACAATGGGGTAGAGGTGAGCATTGTCATTCCTCGCAGCTCTGGGTCTCTAGGTTCAAGTTTTGCGCTTCTTTCTGCGTTCTCCCAGTTTACGTGTGGGTTTCCTCCAGGTGCTGTGGTTTCCTCCTACCATCAAAACCCAAACTGGCAGGTTAATTGGCTTCTGGGAAAGTTGGCCCTGGTGTGAGTGTGTGCATTTGTGTCTGAGTGTACCTTGAGATGGACTGGCATCCTGCCCTGCATGTTTCCCTCCCTGTGCTTGTTGCTTGATAGGATAGGCTTCACCTTCCTCCACGACTCTGAATTGGATGAAATAGTTAGAAAACAGATGTAAAGTGCAAAGCAAAAATCCATCCAAAGCTGGACAATACCTGTATGGGAACAATCCCTAATACAATCTTATTCCTGTAGTGGTTCATCGGAGCTCTGGAGCTGAGATTGGGTTTTGTCTTCCAGGAGGAGGTGGCTGCCAAGCTTGGTCTGACCACAGTACAAGCACTGACCACCCTGAGGGACCAGCTGTCTGTGCTGCTGGAGCAGCACCAGAAGCACAGCCACAGGAAGAGCAGTTTTAGGGTATGGCCGCACTCGCAATATGCCTCACTTGCAAAACTCTGACAACAACCACACAAACACACCACTGAACTGCCTTGCACAATATAACATTCTCGCACAACAGTTTGACTCAAAACATGCTGACCCCCATAAAAAAACATATCTTAAGAATATAGAATGCAGATAGCACCCTCAAAATTAAACACAAAGCATATCCATTGTGCCACTGGGCTGCCCTATCTATTAAAATAACATTATACAGTATTTAATTAATAAATCATAAATAAGCAATTAATAAATCATAAATAATTAATAAAATCATTAGTAAAGCATAACTTAATCACCTGCCAGTTATTATCACTTGGCTCCTCACCAATATTTTAACCACTGGCACAGACACGGACTATACACCCCACACTAACCCCCCCATATACAGCACACACCCACATTTCCTTGTGCAAGGCCTTGTTGTTCGCTGCCCTCACAATGGTTTCGAAGACCTTAACTAAAGTGTGTTTGAGAGAAGCCAAAGGCCAACCTTGAATTTGTTTATTGAGGTTACCTACTGCAGAAATCACAAGTAGGGCAGGGTGTTCAGTTAAATGTAGGCAAAGAACACGAGAATGCTGGCACTGACACAGAGCAAAGACATCAGTGAAATCAGAAAATATGCAAAAGGAGGCCTGAGAGACGGAGGAAGAAATCCAGGTTTCAGAAATAAAAGTTAATTTATCTGTGGACTTTCTTTTTCACTTTATAGTCCTCAAGCCCCGCTCTGTGTATATTCCCCAACAGAAGTAATACTGTGAATTGAAAAACTCTATTTTTTGTATGACCTGCTGCTTGCCATGTGTGATTGTGTGTGTTTGTGTTGCAGGAACTGTGGGAGAAGAGCTTCCTTCACCATAACAACCGTTACTCCAGCTTCCATTGGCCAGGGGCCGCCCTCACACTGGTGGCGGTGATTGGGCTGCTGTGTTGCCATGGGAGCCAGCCGCAGGGCAGGTAAGGCACAGCGTGGAGCTGCAGACAGCAGTGTTTCTGAATTCTGCACCACTGTCAGGAAAAACAGAATAGTATCTAGATATAGGTCTCATTAATAAACATCTTCTGTAAGATAAGATAAGATCACTTTATTGGACATATACAATTTCTTGCATTAGGAATTCATCTTTTCGCGTACCCCAGCTTGCTCTTCATGAGACACACAGACAGGGAGAGAGCACAGGGTCAGCCATTGTTTAGCATCCCTGGAGCAGTTGGGGTTAAGGGCCTTGCTCTGGAACCCAACAGAGTAGGATTCCTCTGCCGGCAGCGGGATTTGAATGGGGAACCATCCAGCCACAGGCACAGACCCTTAGCCCGAGAGCCACCACACTGCCCTAATGACCTTCTGTGTTAGGTTTGCTGAAATTGTTTGGCAAAGAAAGCATAGCAAAGGAAAAATGACTGTTCATGACACAAAATGAGAAAAGTGTACTTAGTTTGCCGACTTTATGATAATGGTGCCATGTTTTATATCTTTAAAAACTGTGAAGGAATTCTATTCTGGGGCAGTTAAAAAAAACACCTAGTGCTGTACAAAGGCTCACAAATAATAAAGAGCTGAAAAAAGCCTAGTAAATAGTGTTAGTGAAACTAAAAACAAATCTAAATTACAACTTTAAAATGTTATTGCAACTATGGGTCTTTAAGCTCGATGTGTGGAGCCTGGACTTCGGCAGAGTAAGAAGGCCTGAATCACCAAATCTCAGATTGCTATACGACACCCAAGCACTTAATCCTTGAGATAATCTGGAGCTAGACTATTGGGTATTTTATACATGGGCAGGAGAATCTTTGAGGTCCACACTATATTTCACAGGGTGCCAGTTCAATCGTCAGTAGATGGGAGTTCTGTGCTGAAGAAGAGTAGTTAGGAGTAGATTTTGGACATGCTGAATGCTATTTAGTACCTCACAAAATACCCAAGTAAGTAAGATGCTACAGTAGTCTAATCTTGATGGATATGCTGTATGAGTACAGTATATGAGGCATGTATCGGTACTTCAGCACCAGAGCAAGGGTTTTAACCAAGCACTGTGAATGCAGATGGAAGATAAATTTGACATTACTAACGTGTTTCATATTATAAATTATTTGTTTGGTCAGTTGATCAAATTGGATTTTTCACCTGTTAGATGTCCAAAGGTTTTGACTAGAGTTGCCCCTTATTTATTTTTTCCCTTTGTTTCCTAACTTTAATTTACAGCATAATTATTTAGTAAACTAGTTAATTCAGTGGTACGTCACTATTTACAGAAGTAGAAAAAATGCCTTTTGTTAAACAGACATTTTGAATAAACAGTTTTGAGGTCACAGTCAAAAAACAGAAAAATGCATAGAAGTGTAGAACCCATTAATCACAGAACAGATTCCTGTGAAGAGTTGTAGCAATGAACAACCTGTCCTGGAAGCACTGGATAAATGACATGTCTACCCTTGACATCAGTCTGGCACTGGGCATGCACTTGGAAGTACACAGGGACAGTTTAGAGATGCCAGTAAACCAAGCATGTCTTTGAATGGTGGTAGGAAACTGGAGTATCTGTCAAAAACTCATGTGAACTTGTGATAACTCTACGCAGAAGGACCTCAAGTCCAGAATTAAAATCAGGGCTCAAGAGTTGTGAAACAGCATTGCTAACTGCCTCACCACTT